TATGGTCCACTGTCAGATGGAACATTCACATGTGAACTGAATGACAGGACCCACTTACAAGTCCCCGACTCCCTTGAAGACAAAAGCGGATTTTTATACACAGAAATTTTTGTAAGTACGGCCTGGTAACAAGCAGTTTTAATTTACAAAGGTGATCAATTTACGAACAAAAAAAAAATCGGATATAGTGTTGTTCCCTTCGATGTTATTTATTTATCTATTCATCATTTTAAAATTGATTTATTGTATAAATTGATCTATTTTCTTCTTATCTTTTCAGAATCCTTGTGAGAGCATTCCATGTGCCAATCACGCCACATGTCAAGCGGGGTTTGGTAACCATGGATACCGCTGTATTTGTCCTGCTGGATATCGAGGAGTTCAGTGTAAAAAAGGTGAGGAAAAAAACATCTAACGATAAAAAGATGAGTTCACACAGTTCAATATTTAATTGAGTTTACAATAAAGTTAACCAGCTATAATTGCCAAAAAATTATGCGTGCAATGCTAAGATAGAGAAAAGACAGAGAACAGGCGAAGAATCCTGACTAAAAGGATGTGAAAAGGACAGGTAGGAAGAGGAACAGAAAGAAAAGTACACAGATGCACAGGGCCACTTTCATAGAGTTGGAAGAAATGTCTTATAGTGGAGAGTTTTTAGCTTTGGTTTTTTTTCTTAAATTCTGTGAAGATGTTGATGAATGCCTATTAGGAAAACACGATTTTCCTGCTGAGCGCGAATGTGTCAATAATTTGGGTTCATATCAGTGCTCACATTGTCGACCTGTATAAATTGACGATGGAGAGACAAGAGCAATCCGTGTGTTAGTAACTCCACATGTCAAGCGGGGTTTGGTAGTCATGGTTACCGCTGTATTTGTTCTGATGGATATGAAGGAGAGCTTTGCCAAATAGGTGAGAAAGGAAAGTCCTTGCGATAGCAGGTCTTCATCTCCCAGGTGCACAGTTAAAGTTACCCAATAAAGCTGCAAATAAAGTAGCCTCTCAGCAAGGAGAGTTTATGAATCCTCATCTGTTTAATCAATACAGCCTTGATATCTGCATTAAAGGATCTCTCCGTCATAAGGCAAGGGGCAAGTTAGATTTGTTCAGTATGTGCTCTATCAAATGCTAGACGTTGTCAGAAGGATTGAAACTCCAGGGTTGCGACAACTGTAGACGTCGTTATAAGATTTTCTTCTGCAGCAATAACCGAGAGGTGATATCAAAGTATTGCTGTCGTGATGTGATAAATCATAGATAATAGATCTTACTGCCTAATGTTGTAAATTGTAAGAGATATCGGATGTAAGGGCAAGAACAGAAATGAAATAAATAAAATTGTATAAGTTTCGTGCTGAAAGCAAATAGTTGAAATTGAGAAAAAACAGAAATAATTGATTAATACGATGGAGATGCACTTTAGATGAAAAGGCCTATTTCAAAATAAGGACTATGGTTTTTTTCATCTTCCTTTAATCTTGAATACATGTTGACGAATGCGTTTAGGCAAGGAGAAGTGTTCCTCTGATGGCAGTTGTGTTAATGTTATGGGCTCATACATCTTACTTCTCCGTCTCTTGTAACTCGTGTGTAGATACTGATGAGTGTACATCGAGCAAACACGATTGTTCCTCTGACGGCGACTGTGTTAATGTCGTGGGTTCATATCAGTGCTCTTGCAAGCCTGGATTTACTGGCGATGGTAAAATTTGCCAAGGTAACATTTATTTTATATAAAAGTGCAAAGCTATTGATTACCCTCTTCACCAGTCTTGCAAGACAGAAATAAATGATGTGATTCGCAGGGTCAATTGTCCTTAAAATTACTGCTAAAAAAAGGGTTTTACATATTAATGTAACAGAGAAGGCTGCCTCCACATCATAATCAGCAAAATTGGTTTTTTAAGCATATTTAAAACATACAGAACGATTCCGAACTTCTGGCAAACCCGTGAATTCACGACCTCAGCACGTTACACTTTTCAGTAGATTCTGGGAAACGCCAAAAAAACAACCCCACCTCTTCTGATAATTTCCCTACACCTTGATTAGTCTCATATTCCATTTCTACTTAGATATCGATGAGTGTAACGATGGAAGCCATGATTGTCACTTTGCGGCCGATTGTACAAACACCGCTGGATCATTCGACTGCAGCTGTCAGTCTGGACACCTTGGAGATGGACGGCACTTTTGCTCAGGTATATCTTGATCTTTAACCCAAAACAAAAAAATGTGAGTGAGTAGAGTGGTTTGAACATAACCAAAGTTATTTCTTTAATTATTTTCCTCAAAAAAATCAATTTATTTTGCGTTACCGTTTCTAAGACACGAAAACCTAAGGCTTTCTTTGAAACCTGACAAACATTTTAACAGATAACTGGAAAAAGGTCAACATCGATCCTGTCTGCTTTGGGACAAAAGATGACGACCACGGAACTTTTCATATCCAAGAAGCCGGTCAAATCTACACATTTAAACTTGTCCATACAAGTGGCTCCGTGACATGCGACACTTCAACAACTTCAACAAAGTGGGGATGCTCATTTCCAATTTACGGAAATCACAACTTAATGACGGTGATAACTTACAGCAACAAAACAGTTCTCCCGCTTGCTGAGTTCTTGAAAGGCAACGACAGAACATACTATACTTACCAACTTGACGGTGCCGATTTCAACTCCACAACACTAGCGTTTAAGCTCCTCCCCACCCCACTGGTTGTATTGGTTGGTCAGCAGTTCCAATTATGGTATGCGCATGACTTGGTTAATTATACTGAGTATAATAACGATGGTAAGACATGCGCAGACGTTTATGCTCTGTACCATTGACACGGTTAAACGGTTGCGGCAACTACAGATGACTTCGGTCGTACGTCTGCACTTTGCTGAATCACAGCCGGCAAACAATCGGAGAGCAGGTGGTATTTAGTTCATAAAAAAGGCACGGTATATATGATATGGCTTCAATCACCAAGTCCTTAATGAATGGTCCGTTCAGTTGGTACGATAAGTAAGCTGATTGGTTACCGGGACTCTATATTAACAAATTCAGCAAGCTTCGACATCGATATGGAAACGTAGTAGATAATTTCATGTAGTAATGCAAGTATGTAATGACGAAAAGAAAAAACAAAAAAAAAAGCAATACTAAGAGTCGAGATTTGCTTTGCCTCCTTAGCTATTCACCAGCTTACATTCAACGCACGCCTACTGCACCATTGTTAAATATTTCACAACAGTTATTTTCCCTGCGGCTGATGCTTATGAATTTGCTTTCTTTCAATGAAAATGAATTGAAAATAAACTTTAGTGCCCCAGAGCTCATAAAAACTACAATAAATGACAATCTCTTTTATCAGCTCTTCTTTAAGATTAAATTTAAAACTGTCGAGTTTCATTTTATGCCGTGTTTCTGTTTTTCATCATCTTTACAGTGAATTTGGGTCCAGAAATCGCATTTTGAATAGCTTGTATTTAATTTTATCTTCAGTAAATAAACAACTGAACTTACGGAAATTTTGATTGGCAGTAGGAGCTGATTGGGGTACCCCGTTGGTTTAAACAGTTAAGACAAGTGTCTTACGGTAGCCGGCTGCAATATGCGTTTGTTGCGTCTTAAAGATACGTGACGGAATGGCGGTACGTTTGTGACAGAAAAGATTATTAAACCGTTTAACCATCTTACAAAAATTAGCCCTGAATAATTTCGGTAACCAAAGACACTGCTTTTTTTTTGCTTTTTCTGTGGGCGGCTGGCACATTTAATTTCAGCTTTAAAACAGTGTCGACGAGGTGTCCTTGCAATATATTGCCAATACAATTGTTTCCTTTTCTTTTGTGGTATTTTTTTTTTCGCTTTTTACGAGGCAGGAAATCAGCCTCTTTCATGACACCAAGGCGATATATTTGAGTTAAGACGAGAAAAAAAATGAGTACTCTTTAGGTAAACAAACGTCAGGTGCAAACTTAAGCCATGTAAGCGTATCACCAACCTAATCTACATTGATAATTTTCTATGTGATTGATATCAAGTGGATTCACTTTAATTATATTCAATTTTACCCTCCTTCTTATTTGAATTTGGTTATTTAGAGGCATAGGTGTTCAAGTTTGGGTTTATCACTTGAAATATTTTAGCTCAAAAAAGTGTTGATGGTCTTTTCAATTTTCATTTCCACAAAATTAAATCTATCGCTGTTCCGCATGTTCTCTGTTTCAAGTATTTCCTTAAGCTTTCATCTTATCGTTGAAGAATTCTTTTTTAATTAATTATCACTTGAAATATTTTAGCTTAAAAAAGGGTTGATGGTCTTTTCAATTTTCATTTCCACAAAAATAAATCTATCACTGCTCAGCATGTTCTCTGTTTCAAGTATTTCCTTAAAATTAAAATAAATGTGCATGCTTTCTCGCACGTTTTTGTCGTGGAGCTTTTTGAAGCGGTCCAACCTTTTTTTATTTTGATCCTTCAATGAATTAATCTGCAGTTGAACGCGCTCGACAGATTTTCAACTTCATTTAACGCATACATCAAAGTGGTAACACTGAAAAACGTCTTGCGTTAGGCAATCTTCGGCAAACGGTTAATTAGTTATTTACAAAGGCTAACATCACGCATTTAAGTTATTTTTTTTTCTCCTACAGCTTTCCTGTAATTCTTAAGACTCGATGTTTTGTTTTCAAATTAAGTTAAGCCATGTGATTATTCAAGTGACGTATTCGCAAATGTTAAAAAATAAAATCCTATAACTGCGAAGCGTGCTGGTCTCACATCTGCCGCTTACATTAATAATCATTTTCCTCTTTTATGATTCTGCAATTCGCTGTATTGTTTTGAGTGTTGAAATATTAAGTCTGGTTGCATTTACAAGAGAGAGCAGCGTTTCATTTAGCTCGCTATAGCTAGCTGAAGGGTGTTCTCACTAACGACAATATGATACTGTTCTCATTAGCCGTTGGTGATCCTTCAATGAGTAAGGTCCTAACTTTTATATGGATTTTCGTTTTGGTGTACTGGTGTATGGAGGTAAGTGACTCCTGCCAAAAGCTGGCATCGCTGACACTTTAATCTGTTATCACTTTTGTATTCGTGATCAGATTCATATCCTTGTGTTAATGGTACAAAAGGGAGAAGAAAGTAAGTGTGTGAAAATAGAAGACTCAGTAAGTTAACTTTAAATCTATTCCGAGTGATAATGTGAAATTTCGAATTCTCAAAGTAAATATGGCAGAAATGGGATATTGCACGATAGCACGTTATTGCAAAACTGCCCACTTTTCGTCGAGCGGCAAATCAAGAGTTAATTATGTAGTTTCCCAGACATTTATGGAACAACTTTAAACTAATATTGCGATAAGACTCAGAATGTCGGCTTCCTTCAAGCTTATGCCCCGTTTAATGTCATTTTCTCATTGGCTTCTTCATTTCTTGCCAAACCCTTAGATGATTGCCGAGTGATTCAGTTCAAAGCAGGAACGAAAAACAAGATCTTAACTAATCAAGTCATAAGAAGTGAACGAGCAAAGGACAAGGATATCTGCGAGTTGAAATGCTACTTTGAACCAAACTGTGTGTCCTATAACTATGGTCCGCTGGGAGATGGAGCATTCACATGCAAGCTAAGCAACAGAAATCATTTGCAGGTCTCTCCCAGTTACTTCGAATTTAGTAACGACTTTTTATACAGAGAAATTATTGTAAGTAAATAACAATATCAATTTTACCAGGGTGATCGTTCCGCGAACGAGAAACCTCTGTTTCAAGTTGAACCTCCTTGTTTATTTATTTACCACTTTATTATTTATCTCTCTAAATACTCAGTCTATTAATTTACTAATCTAGGCTTTATCTATCTAATTACTTAATTCATCTATCATATTTTAGAATTCCTGTGAGAGCAATCCGTGTGTTAGTAACTCTACATGTCAAGCGGGGTTTGGTAGTCATGGTTACCGCTGTATTTGTTCTGACGGATATGAAGGAGAGCTTTGCCAAATAGGTGAGAAAGGAAATTCCTCGCGAAAGCAGGTCTTTATCACCCAGGTTCATAGTTAAAGTTACGCAATAAAGCTGCAAATAAAATAGCCTCTCAGCAAGGAAAGTTTTGAATCCTCATCTGTTTAATCAATACAGCCTTAATATCTGCATCAAAGGATATCTCCGCCATAAGGCAAGGGGCAAGTTAGATTTGTTCAGTATGTGCTCTCTCAAATGCTAGAAGTTGTCAGATGGATTGAAACTCCAGGGTTGCGACAACTGGAGACGTCGTTATAAGGTGTTCTTCTGCAGCATTAACCGAGAGGTGATATCAAAGTATTGCTGTCGTGATGTGATAAATCATAGATAATAGTCTTAAAGAAAAACGAGAAAGTAAGAGAATATCCGAGTAGGAATGGGTGATATGAAGGGAAAACTGCCTCATCTTGTCAACTGTAGATATTTGATGCAAGGACAAGAACAGAAATGAAACAAATAAAAGTATAAGTTTCGTGCTGAAAGCCAATAGTTGAAATTGGGAAAAACTGACAGAAATAATTGATTAATACGATGGAGATGCACTTTAGATGAAAAAGATCTATTTCAAAATAAGGAATATTATGGTTTTTTTCATCTTCCTTTAACCTTGAATACATGTTGACGAATGCGTCTAGGCAAGGAGAAGTGTTCCTCTGATGGCAGTTGTGTTAATGTTATGGGCTCATACATCTTACTTCTCCGTCTCTTGTAACTCGTGTGTAGATACTGATGAGTGTACATCAAGCAAACACGATTGTTCCTCTGACGGCGACTGTGTTAATGTCGTGGGTTCATATCAGTGCTCTTGCAAGCCTGGATTTACTGGCGATGGTAAAATTTGCCAAGGTAACATTTATTTTATATAAAAGTGCAAAGCTATGGCCTCTTCACCGGTCTTGCAAGACAGAAATAACTGATGTGATTCGCAGGGTCAATTGTCTTTAAAATTACTGCTAAAAAAGGGTTTTACATGTTAATGTAACAGAGAAGGCTGCCTCCACTTCATAATCAGCAAAATTGCTTTTTTAAGCATATTTAAAACATACAGAACGATTCCGAACTTCTGGCAAACCCGTCAATTCACCACCTCAGCACGTTACACTTTTCAGTAGATTCTGGGAAACGCTAAAAAAAACAACCCCACCTCTTCTGATAATTTCCCTACACCTTGATTAGTCTTATATTCCATTTCTACTTAGATATCGATGAGTGCAACGATGGAAGCCATGACTGTCACTTTGCGGCCGATTGTACAAACACCGCTGGATCATTCGACTGCAGCTGTCAGTCTGGACACCTTGGAGATGGACGGCACTTTTGCTCAGGTATATCTTGATCTTTAACCCAAAACAAACAAATGTGAGTGAGTAGAGTGGTTTGAACATAACCACAGTTATTCTTTAATTACTTTCCTCAAACAAATCAATTTATTGTGCGTTACCGTTTCTAAGACACGAAAACCTAAGGCTTTCTTTGAAACCTGACAAACTATTTAACAGATAACTGGAAAAAGGTCAACATAGGCGATCCTGTCTGTTTTGGGACAAAAAATGACGACCACGGAACTTTTCATATCCAAGAAGCCGGTCAAATCTACACATTTAAACTTGTCCATACAAGCGGCTCCGTGACATGCGTATCCATTTTAGCAATATCAACAAAGTGGGGATGCTCATTTCCAATTTACGGAAATCACAACTTAATGACGGTGATAACTTACAGCAACAAAACAGTTCTCCCGCTTGCTGAGTTCTTGAAAGGCAACGACAGAACATACTATACTTACCAACTTGATGGTGCTGATTTCAACTCCGCAACACTAGTGTTCAAGCTCCTCCGCACCCCACTGGTTGTATTGGTTGGTCAGCAGTTCCAATTATGGTATGCGCATGACTTGGTTAATTTTACAGAGGATAATAACGATGGTAAGACATGCGCAGACGTTTATGCTCTGTACCATTGAGACGGTTAAACGGTTGCGGCAACTACAGATGACTTCGGTCGTACGTCGGCACTTTGCTGAATCACAGCCGGCAAACAATCGGAGAGCGGGTGGTATTTAGTTCATAAAGAAGGCACGGTAGATGTGATATGGCTTCAATCACTAGGTCCTTAATGAATGGTCCGTTCAGTTGGTACGATAAGTAAGCTGATTGGTTACCGGGACCCTATATTAACAAATTCAGCAAGCTTCGACATCGATATGGAAACGTAGTAGATAATTTCATGTAGTAATGCAAGTATGTAATGACGAAAAGAAAAAACAGAAAAAAAAAGCAACACTAAGAGTCGAGATTTGCCATAATATTACCTAGTGTAGTAATGAAGTGCCTCCTTAGCTATTCACCAGCTTACATTCATCGCGCTTACGGCATTATTGTTAAATATTTCACAACAGTTATTTTCCATGCGGCTGATGCTTATGAATTTGCTTTCTTTCAATGAAAATGAATTGAAAATAAACTTTAGCGCCTCAGAGCTCATAAAAAACTTCAATAAATACAATCTCTTTTATCAGCTCTTCTTTAAGATAGCTTAAATTTAAAACTGTTGAGTTTCATTTTATGCCTTGTTTCTGTTTTTCATCATCTTTACAGTGGTTTGAGTCCAGAAATAGCTTGTATTTAATTTTATCTTCAATAAATAAACAACTGAACTTACCGAAATTTTGATTGGCAGTAAGAGCTGATTGGGGTACCCCGTTGGTTTAAACAGTTAAGAAAAGTGTACTACGGTAGCTGCAATATGCGTTTGTTGCATTTTAAAGATACAAGACAGAATGGCGGTACGTTTGTGACAGAAAAGATTATTAAACCGTTTAACCATCCTACAAAAATTAGCCCTGAATAATTTTGGTAACCAAAGACACTGCTTTTTTTGTGGGCGGCTGGCACATTTAATTTCAGCTTTAAAACAGTGTCGACGGGGTGTCCTTGTAATATATTGCCAATACAATTGTTTCCTTAAGTTTGCTTTTGTGGCATTTTTTTTTTCTTCGCTTTTAACGAGGCAGGACATCAGTCTCTTTCATGACACCAAGGCGATATATTTGAGTTAAGATGAGAAAAAAAATTAGTACTCTTGAGGTAAACAAACGTCAGGTGCAAACTTGAGCCTTGTAAGTGTATCACCAGCCTAATCTACATTGAGAATTTTCTATGTGATTGATATCAAGTGGATTCACTTTAATTATATTCAATTTTACCCTCCTTCTTATTTGAATTTGGTTATTTAGAGGCATAGGTGTTCAAGTTTGGGTTTATCACTTGAAATATTTTAGCTTAAAAAAGTGTTGATGGTCTTTTCAATTTTCATTTCCACAAAATTAAATCTATCGCTGTTCCGCATGTTCTCTGTTTCAAGTATTTCCTTAAGCTTTCATCTTATCGTTGAAGAATCCTTTTTTTAATTAATTATCACTTGAAATATTTTAGCTTAAAAAAGTGTTGATGGTCTTTTCAATTTTCATTTCCACAAAAATAAATCTATCACTGCTCAGCATGTTCTCTGTTTCAAGTATTTCCTTAAAATTAAAATAAATGTGCATGCGCGTCTTTGTCGTGGAGCTTTTTGAAGCGGTCCAACCTTTTTTTATTTTGATCCTTCAAAAATTAATCTGCAGTTGAACGCGCTCGACAGATCTTCAACTTCATTTAACGCATACATCAAAGTGGTAACACTGAAAAACCTCTTGCGTTAGGCAATCTTCGGCAAACGGTTAATTAATTATTTACAAAGGCCAACATCACGCATTGAAGTTATTTTTTTCTCTTACAGTTTTTCTGTAATTCTTAAGACTCAATGTTTTGCTTTCAAATTAAGTTAGGCCATGAGATTATTCAAGTGACGTATTCGCAAATGTTAAAAAATAAAATCCTATAACTGCGAAGCGTGCTGGTCTCACATCTGCCGCTTACATTAATATTCATTTTCCTCTTTTATGATTCTGCAATTCGCTGTATTGTTTTGAGTGTTGAAATATTAGGTCTCGTTGCATTTACAAGAGAGACCAGCGTTTCATTTAGCTCGCTATAGCTAGCTGAAGGGTGTTCTCACTAACGACAATATGATACTGTTCTCACCAGCCGTTAGTGATCCTTCAATGAGTAAGGTCCTAACTTTTATATGGATTTTTCGTTTTGGTGTACTGGTGTATGGAGGTAAGTGACTCCTGCCAAAAGCTGGCATCGTTTACACTTTAATCTATTATAACTGTTTTATTCCTGATCAGATTCATATCCTTGTGTTATGGTACAAAAAAAAATAAAATTCTATAACTTCGAAAGTAAGTGTGTGAAAAGAGAAAACTCATTAAGTTAACTTTAAATCTATTCATGGTAATGATGTGAAATTTCTAATTCTCAAAGTAAAAATGACAGAAATGGGATATTGCACGATAGCACGTTATTGCAAAACTGCCCTGTTTACAATGCCGTGATCTTAGTTGGGCGTAAAGGAAACGTGGACGTGGAGAGAAGATCTGTTGGTAAAATTATTGCGGATTGAAGGCGACATTGATCTATATATATATGATTTGTCCAAAATATTTGAGTTGCTGATGTCCGATTATAACATAATAAATGGAACGGAAAAAGACACTGATGAAGACCTTGAAAGCTAAAGGAGTAACAATATAGACTTGCTATCGTAAAGAATTTCTAAAGCTGACGTTCCAGAGCGAAGCGCTAACGGTTATTGAGTTCTACCCCCACCGAGGCAGCGTCACAGTTTCCCTAGAAACCCACCCCCTCATTTTAAAACCAGATCCTATTTAGAATTATAATGGCGAACATCAATCTTGTTCTTCAATGTAATGGGTAAATAAAAAAATGATGGTCCGAAAATGCAACTTTTCTGGTAAGGTGAATATGATGCATGGATAATTCAAGTTTGCAGGCTATTTAGCTAAGTCACTCACCTAACGAAAAGAGAGGAAAGGCTTATCACCTGCCTTTCTTTCGAGGATGAAAAAGCGTAGCAAATATTCGTGGTTTTTTTTTGTCGAGCGGCAAATCAAGGGTTAATTGTGTAGTTTCCCTGACATTTATGGAACAACTTTCAACAAATATTGCGATAAGACTTAGGTTGTCGGCTTCCTTTAAGCTTGTGTGCTGTTTGATTTCATTTTCTCATTGGCTTTTTCATTGGCTTATTTATTTCTTGCCAAACCCTTAGATGATTGCCGAGTGATTCAGTTCAAAGCAGGAACGAAAAACAAGATCTTAACAAAACACGTCATAAGAAGTGAACAAGCAAAGGACAAGGATATCTGCGAGTTCAAATGCTACTTTGAACCAAACTGTGTGTCCTATAACTATGGTCCGCTGGGAGATGGAACATTCACATGCGAGCTAAGTAACAGAACTCATTTGCAAGTCTCTCCCACTTACTTCGAATATAGGAACGACTTTTTATACAGAGCAATCATTGTAAGTAAATAACAATATCAATTTTACCAGGGTGATCGTTCCGCGAACGAGAAACCTCTGTTTCAAGTTGATCCTCCTCGTTTATTTATTTACCACTTTATTATTTATCTCTCTAAATACTCAGTCTATTTATTTACTTATCTAAGCTTTATCTATCTAATTACTTGATTCATCTTTTGCATTTTAGAATTCCTGTGAGAGCAATCCGTGTGTTAGTAACTCTACATGTCAGGCGGGGTTTGGTAGTCATGGTTACCGCTGTATTTGTTCTGACGGATATGAAGGAGAGCTTTGCCAAATAGGTGAGAAAGGAAACTCCTCGTCATGGCAGGTCTTCATCTCCCAGGTTCATAGTTAAAGTTACACAATAAAGCTGCAAATAAAGTAGCCTCTCAGCAAGGAGAGTTTTGAATCCTCATCTGTTTAATCAATACAGCCTTAATATCTGCATTAAAGGATATCTCCTTCGCAGGGTAAGGGGCAAGTTAGATTTGTTCTGTATGTGCTCCCTAAAATGCTAGAGGTTGTTAGAAGGATTGAAACCCCAAGGTTGAGACAACTGGAGACGTCGTCATAAGATGTTATTCTGCAGCATTAACCGAGAGGTGATATTAAAGTATTGCTGTCGTGATGTGATAAATCCCAGATAATGGAGATTACAGAAAAACGAGAAAGAAAGAGAATATCAGAATAAGAAAGGATGATACGAAGGGAAAACTGCCTTCATGTTGTCAACTATGGATATTTGATGCAAGAGCAAGAACAGAAATGAAACGAATAAAAGTATAAGTTTCGTGCTGAAAGCAAATAGTTCAGTGGAATTTTGGAATAATTGACAGAAATAATTGATTAATACGATCGAGATGAACTTTAGATAAAAAAGATCTATTTAAAAATAAGGAATATGGTTTTTTTCATCTTCCTTTAATCTTGAATAGATATTGACGAATGCGTCTAAGGCAAGGTGAAGTGTTCCTCTGATGGCAGTTGTGTTAATGTTATGGGCTCATACGTCTAACTTTTCCGTCTCTTGTAACTCGTGTGTAGATACTGATGAGTGTACATCAAGCAAACACGATTGTTCCTCTGACGGCGACTGTGTTAATGTCGTGGGTTCATATCAGTGCTCTTGCGAATCTGGATTTACTGGCGATGGTAAAATTTGCCAAGGTAGCATTTATTTTATATAAAAGTGCAAAGCTATCGATTACTCTCTTCATCAGTCTTGTAAGACAGAAATAACTGATGCAATTCGCAGGGTCAATTGTTCTTAAAATTACTGCTAAAAAATGGTAAGTCTTTACATGTTTATGTATCTGAGAAGACTGCCTCCACATCATAGTCAGCAAAATTGCTGCTTTAAGCATATTTAAAATATACAGAATGATGCCGAACTTCTGGCAAACCTGTGAATCCGCCACCTCAACACATTACACTTTTCAGTAGATTCTGGGAAACGCCAAAAAAACAACCCCACCTCTTCTGATAATTTCCCTACACCTTGATTAGTCTCATATTCCATTTCTACTTAGATATCGATGAGTGTAACGATGGAAGCCATGACTGTCACTTTGCGGCCGATTGTACAAACACCGCTGGATCATTCGACTGCAGCTGTCAGTCTGGACACCTTGGGGATGGACGGCACTTTTGCTCAGGTATATCTTGATCTTTAACCCAAAACACAAACAAATGTGAGTGAATAGTGTGGTTTGAACATAACCACAGTTATTTTTTAATTACTTTCCTCAAAAAAATCAATTTATTTTGCGTTACCATTTCCAAGACACAAAAACCTAAGGCTTTCTTTGAAACCTGGAAAACTTTTTAACAGATAACTGGAAAAAGGTCAACATCGATCCTGTCTGCTTTGGGACAAAAAATGACGACCACGGAACTTTTGATATCCGAGAAGCCGGTCAAGTCTACACTTTTAAACTTGTCCATACAAGTGGCTCCGTTACATGCGACACTAATCGCTCACCGACCAAATGGGGATGCTTACGGCCAGAATACAGAAATTATAACCTGATGACAGTGATAACATACAGCAACAAAACTGTTCTTCCACTTGCTGAGTTCGTGAAAAGTAACACCGAAGGCAAACTGTATACTTACCAACTTGATGGTGCTGATGTCAACTCTCCCACGCTTGTGTTTAATTTTCTCCCCATGCCCTTGGTTGTATCTGTTGGCCAACAGTTCCAAATTTGGTATGCGCATGACCTGGTTGGTTTTACCGAGAAAAATAACGATGGTGAGACATGTGCGGACGTTTATGCTTTGTACCCTTTAAACTGAAATTCAGCATTGAACTAAATCTGAGATTTGGAAGGTCGAAAGTTTATTTATGGAGATCAAAGTTTTAATTTGATTTAACAAGATCAAGTTAGAGTCAAATTGAGAGAAGAAAAAGTACGCCTGAAAGATTATTAAAATGTCATGGGGGAGAGGGTGAAAATAGGCGTGTGTTGCTGTTTTGAAGGCTAGAGCGTAATCTTCGAAGATCATTTGGCCAGCATGCCTACTCATGCCTACCGAAAGTGAATGTAAAGCGCGTACTATTAAGTTAGAAGTCAGCCCACCAGATTAACTCAAAGTAAATTAGAGTCGATCAGAGAGAGAATCAGAGTTTATCAGTCAGTCTGAGTTATAACGAGTTAAGTCAAGAGGGATGCATTTTCTGTAAGTATAATTGTATAAGAGAACATATATCAAAGAAGATTGAAAAGGACGGATCGAGGATCCTTGGTGCCTTTCGCCGAGCGAAGTTTCATCTGCAGTATTTCAGAAACCTTTTCTACAGCGGTTGCTATAATTATTATTTAGAAAGTTGAGACCTGAACAATACCAGATATAACGTTCTCATACCAATGTAGTTAGATTTTAGCATTAGCTTGGAAGAGAAGTGTCAAATACATTTAATCAGTGTGGTTTCAAGTAAAAGAAGGGGCCGAGAAAAATTCATTTAACATTTTAAAAATTAACAGACCTTCTTAAATTCATCATCATGTGATAAATTTATCATATCATGTGATATGTAACCAAGTTCCAATTAATTTCAGTCACGGCTGTTATTTGGGAATGATAACAGAAGACGGATTGAATAAATTCCACATGTTTGTCGGTCTCTTTCGAGCTCGCATTTTGTTCAGTTCTAGTAATTCTGAGTAATTTTCATTTTGAATGGTATACGCGCTATTTGAATGGTAGAATTGCCAAAAGTGAATTTAAAAAAATCGAATATTTGGAAGTACTTTACCATTTTTTAATCCATAGATTCGAGATGGCCAATTAAAAAAATTGTTCTGTATCGGAGACGAGCTGTTCACATGGCTACGGCTTGCCTTTTAGCCCCTTATGATTCTTATTCAATTAGACAAACAGTAACGATAGAGGGAGACACAGACAGAGACGTTCAGCCTGGTTTTTTTAAAGAGATGATAACACTATCTACTGGATAAGGTTTCGTTATTACTTATCGTCTGGATAACAATTTATCCGTTGTATAGCAATGCCCTTTATCTGTCCTTTAAAAAACTGGTCCTAATGGACATTTAGCGAGATTGACGAACACTGAAACAGGCCTGAGAGAGAGAGAGAGAGAGAGAGAGAGAGAAAGCTAGATATAAAGGCACTTTTGTAACCTCATTTTGGCACTTATGTAACCTAAAGTGACACTTCTGTAACTTTTGTGGCACTCACTTAACTTATGGCACTATTGTAACCTGGCACTCCTGTAACTTTGTGGCACTAATATAACTTTTGTGGCACTTGCGTAACTTTTGTGGCACTTCGGTGACGCCATATTTTTGAAAAGTGTGTATTCACTACAAGTAACTAGTGAAACACTTTCCTAAACATACACTTCAGAGGAAAGGAACTGCATCGTTCCCTTCTCATCAGAAATAGATGAATGTATTAACGTTGTCAGATATTCCACGACACTACATTGCAAGTCATATTTTATCGTTAAAAGCAAAGGCTTCCTTAACCCATGCAGCAAGGCCGAACTATTGTCTGCAGATTTAATCGCCATAAAAGGACTCCTCAATATTGCATTGTGCAACCTTACGAGGCAAAATGTACGCGTCGTTTACCACACGCAAATACAACAAAATGGCGGCCTTTTCTACACAGTTTTGCCTGTAAGAGCAGCAAATCGTTGTTATTCTCAACAAATAAACTGCATTAGTGAGGCTTGGTGGTGAATTTTTGGTACATGACATCATCATGCATAAGGTTTATCGATTACTTCATGAGTCCCATATCATTATTCCTAGACAAGGACGGTTGCTTCTTTTGAAATGAAATCCCTTTCGCTATTTCAAGTCGTCGAGATGATACTAAAGTTTATTTTTATTGATCTCGTTTTCTCTTCTGTACACCCACTTCATTGATGTTACTGGCTACACCATCTTTTTACCCCAAACGCAGACAGGGAAGAAAGGGAATTTGTCCTCCTACTGCGGATATTTTATTTTAACCAAATACAAATTAAATATTCGAAACTACTATTTGAATTGGAATAACGTAACGCTGCACACGGTCGAGTGGGTAGTCAGTAACTGACAAACTCCACGCATTACTCAGCAAACACGACAAGTTTGCCAATGTCCAATGTTTCAGTCTTGTGGCCTCGACAACTAAGAATAAGACAATCTGACTTTCTTGAAAACTCACATCCGAACGTTTCCCTTACAATATAATGTAGATGTCCACATGGCGCACGCCCTTAAAAAGCGGTTTAACGCTTCATAGAGGGGTGGGAAGGGAGTAATTTACAAACTCAACTCATTATTCGCTACCATCTCGGTTTCCAAAAGTATGAACAACGGTAAAACCGCTGTCCTCTTTGGACTACCTTGTCTACATTTTCTTTTTTTTTCTAGTTGTCAACGAGACGCTTGTTGGACTGCTTACGCTTTCGCCCATACTTGAGCCTGCTTACGATTTAAGCTACCGTATAATCCTTAAACAGCTTATTATCCAGTTCTTTGTTTGCCAGTCGCTTCAAAATTGCAGGCTTAGAAATAGGCACTCCTTCAATCATGTCTTGAAACAAATAAATCAGTTTTTTAGCATGGTTTTCGCTAAATATGCCTTTGGATCTTTCAGTCGTATTCGTGGGTACCCAAATTTCAGACTTATGGCTGCTTGTGTCTTCAAACATTCTACCGACACGAATGGCACAATTTCTTCCTCAATTGGTAATGAAGTAATCTCATCAGCTTACCAGGCTGTTTGCGAACTGTGACGCCATTCCGCACGGATCCTGCCGTATACTCTTATTGGACTTTCTTTGCACAATATCGGGTCAGACTGGATCTTTTCTCGAAACAAAGACATGGTGACGCTTTGCAACGATATTTCTTCTGCAAATAAATTTTGCAGTGCTTGTAACGACTCTTCTTTCCAGGGAGCTCGTTTCATACCTAGGGAGGCAGCTGTTACGAGTTCACATTCATTAGACTCATTGACTGCCTTTCTTGTTCCCAGCTCTTTATCGTCTTTCTCTCGGTTTCTTATAACGCCATGGCTTTGGTACCATCTGTTCTATAACACAGCTTTTTCAGTTTAACGCGTGTAGTTCTTACGCAATCCTTGACAAAAACTTGAAAGGAGTCAAGCTTTGGAATAATATGGGACATATCGTAGAGTTCCAATTTTTCAGTATCGCAAGGGTATTCCATAAGTGGCTACTCAATTCCACAAGGAAATCGAAGTAAAGTATAAAAACTCGTGAATCAGCAGCATTTTCATTTTTCGACTTTGAACGTTTGCGCTATGTCGCGCCACATCAGCGCGCCTGCTCATACGGAAGGCAATCGTCAGCGGTCACCCACGAGCAAATAGTAGACGCTGAATTGACCAATAGAGGGGCACTTTACTTAAGTTGTGTTGGTAAATAGTAAATCACTATGATCATAGTAAGACCTGAAACTTTAGGCAGTGAAGATTACACCCTAATATTGGAAGTAATTTTTGTTCGTTTGTTTTTGTTTTCGGTTTTTTTTTTCCGTTATTTGGATGCGGATGACCTTTCACTTTGAATACCCATCTCTCAATGATGGTGGTAAACTCATGTCATTGAGTATAAAACAATTATGTATCCTACAAGAACAAATGTAGTTGAATTATGCCCAGTTGAAAGGTAATACCGTTTTCCTGTACTGAAATCAGATTAAAGAGTCGTTGTGTAGTTTACGATTATCTCGCAGCTTGAACCGAGCACAAGGAAACCCAAACTAAGCGATTCATCTTTATCAATAATCCATCGCTGAGTAAGAAACTGTAAAAGTCAGCGTAAAGTAGGGTAGCTTATGCCCCGTTAGTTTCGCAAACGTTTGATTCAACTTTAAACATTTCATTTGTAACCACGCTCTTTGGAATGGACGATGCTTGTACTACATGTCGAAACCGTGCTCTGATTACTGAAATGAAATGAGGCCAAGATAAAGCGATTATCAGACTCACTCTCAGGCTAGGGACAGGGTTAGGAATAGCGAAATAAAGTCACCTAAAATGGGGGAGGTTGGCGGATCCACGTGGTAATGGGTGAGAAAAAAAAGGTTTCCGAAATTATACAGGCTTGAAACCTTACCATCATACTACATGGAAGTCGCTTAAAATCACGATTTTTTCCTACCATTTAAGGATTGCCCATCTATTCCTTTTCAAATTAGCGAGGTTAATCTGCTACTAGCCAGCTTGATATTTTCCTTTCCGTTATAGCGCGATATCCCAAACGACCGAAAAAGAAGGAACACAATTTAACGGACGGTATAAATGGGGACCATGGGAGGAATGTAATACATCAGTCTATTAAAAACACAATCTTCATGAAAGAAATAACAATTTCTACATTTCTTAAGGTTCTCACGTTCAAAAGCATCGGTGAAAATTTAATTTTGACACCTACTGTCTACTTAATAAAGTGTATATACTCGTATGGTTTAACTGTGGTTTGTATTAAATTTTTAATTGATCAACTTGGTTGATCCCAGCACTAGAAAATTAAATCCACCAACTTAAAATAAATGTAACAGTAAGCACAGAGCACGGCGATTGTTTGTACCAGAGTTTATTTAATTTCGACGCTTTTAAATGGGAATTTCCCTTTGAGAAAAATCAAGCGAAAGTGGCACTATTGTAACCCGCAGTACAGTCAAGGGTGTATGTTGGTTAAATGGTTGCCAAGGATAACGAAAACAAGCTAAAAAGCTGAAACTTTGTAAGCATAAATAATTAACGTGGAACTATATGTCACAAAAATTTTAGCAGGAAATGTTGAATAACATAGCCATAGTGGACTTGTCAAGTTCAAATGTGCATTTCAAGGGCTTAAATTGAATTGCCAATCTTGACCACAGATGAAAGGGCGTACACATTTACCTGATTTTTTCAAACGCTCAGAAAACTGGTTTGAAATTTGTGAGGGTAGTGGAGAGAATCTAGTGGTGTGTATTAGCAATCGATCTATCCATTAGTTGCCGTGGAATACGCCAATTACCCTTTAAAATGCGCAATTACCCCAAAGGTTACATTTCACGTTTGAAAAGTGAATAAAAAACAGTAAAATGCGTTAATTCTTTTGAAATTTTAACATAACGCGAACAAAACATTGATACACCCATCCATGCTTTAGTTGCGACTTTTTCTGCATTCCTCAACGAAATATCACTTAAGAGACAAAAGGTTACAAAAGTGGTGCCTTTAGATCTAGAGAGAGAGAGAGAGAGAGAGAGAGAACAAAAGGAGCTTCGTGAGAAAGAACTGAGTAGACGAAAAGGTGGCGGACTATCACGGATACAGCAGATGCCACCTCCAATGTATTAAATTTTTTATCCTTTTTATATTTTATTACCTCTTTTATATATCCTTTGCTTCGTTGTATGGATAGATCTTTACGAATGTATCATAAATAATGACGATTGTTCCTTTTACGGCGACTGCACTAACGTTGTGGGGTCATATCAGTGCACATGTAGGCATGGATTTACTAAAGATGGGAAAAACTGCCAAGGTAAGCCTTTACATCAGTGAAATTCGACCCTCCGATAACATGGCAAGGAGTAAGTACAGTGAGATTTGTTCCACATCTGATCTCACGAGGAACGTTAAAAGTTGTCAAAGGAATTAAAATCCCCTAAGTTGGAGCAAATAAAGTTAAATGTAATCTTATTAAATGAATGATCTCATCCAAGATGATATGAGGAGCAAGAGAATATCAACTGTTGATATTCAATTGATACTCTCTTGATGTTCTATAAACTAATAATGTTGTAAGTTTCGTGCTGAGATCAATTAGATATAATTCTGGAGGACCTGACCGGGTGATTTGAATGCAGAGGGAGACGGGCTTTCGGAAGAGAAAGGATTAATTAGATTATACGGAATTTCATACTTCTTTCGTTTTCGTGGATCTTGAATAGATTTTGACGAATGCGCCTTAGCCAAAGACAGTTATTCCTGTGATGGCAACTTTCTTAATGTTATGGGTTCACAAGGATGCACATGTAAACCTGGATTTACAGGTGTTGGTAAAACATGCCAAGGCATGTTTTTAACTAAAAAAGCTAACAGGCATGCAATAACAAGGGTACCGACTGATTGTAAAGAATAGGGAATCAGCACAAAATGTCCTACTCAAGCGACACACCTTGCTCAAAGGTAGAAAATGGTTGAAACATGAATGATTTAGAAACCAACTAACCGCAACAGCAATTAAATTTTGTTATCTTTATTTTTTCGCATTGATCTTTTTGCAGATATTGACGAATGTGCTCTGGAAAAACACAGTTGTTCGTCTAACGGGGAATGCGCCAATATGGTGGGTTCATATCAGTGTATGTGTAAACCTAAATTTACCGGCGATGGTATAACTTACCAAGGTGAGATTTTTATTTACTAGGAAAAACAGTTACGATAGGATAAGAAACAGTCTTCAGAAAGACTGAAGGACATGTTGAGTGATTGACAGAAACCGGAATAGGCTGAAGGAAAGAGAGGATTATGATCGTAAGGAACACATGGATGAAGCAGAAACTACCTCATTTGCGTAAAATTTTTAATCTTTTCTTGTTTTCGTTTTTATGCTTTGTCTTGTTCCTTCTATTTAATTTGTTTATTTCTAACTTAATTGATTCATGAACAGAGCTTTACGAATGCATCACAAACCAAGACAATTGTCCCTGAGAGAATGGGCAGGGCATGCAGTGACTGTGGACTTGTCCTGGTCAGCTCCGGCCTTTATGGATGATTTAATACCGACACTGAAAAGGAAAAATAGAAAAAGTAGCTTTAAATCGTCTGCGGAAGACAACTCGGATAATTAACGGATAATTTAAGCAAAATTAAATATGTTCAATGGTCGTTTCCTGTAATCCAATATGTCAGTTTTAAGTAGGTTACGTCGGTAACAGTAGTATATGATTTTACCAGGCGATATGTCGTTAATCCTCTACACTATGACGAGGTGTAAATAGGCGTCAGGAAGTAAACCGCCATCATCACGATTTAAAAGAGCGTGGGCGGAGTTGATATGCCAGGCTTCCAAACAAAGGCACTGGTGGTAACGTCGATTAGTGATGATAATTGTAGACTTATCCCACCCAATTGTATGGTTGTTTAGGCATGTGTACTTCGACAAAGCTGAATTTTCTTTTTCGCAAAAGAAGACCACTTTTTGATGGTCTTTCAAACGTGTACCAAACTGGCGTTTGGTCTGTCCGATATACTCGATCGTGACCACAGTCATTGCACGGAATAGAATAAATAGCGTCGGTTCGTATTTATTCTATTTATTCTATTCCACGGCAAAAAGTTCAAATTTTCATATCGGGGGAAAGTGAAAGTGAATTTCTACCTTATGTCCGTTTTTTACCAAAACATCTTTCTTAATTTATTCATTTCGGTAAATTGTATTGTTTACATGGTGTCAATACTCATTAACAAGGAAAACGTTTGTTATTGAAAAAATTTTGTTTTCACGAGTTCGCCGTTTTGTTGTAAATTTTTTGCAAACGTTTTAGAGCTTATTAAAAGAAAGGAAAAAAAATTCGATTGAGGGTTAAACAGGTATCCATCGATCTCAGTTTTCTTAGTGTTTTCATCATTCTCATAAAATAATCTTATGAGGGACCTAAAGCAGCAAGGAGGGCAAAGATAAAGAAGATATCAATTACAAAATGAATTGAATTTATGTTTTAAGTTAGAATTTCGTCTCTAAAGGAGGGTCGTCTCGAAGTGTTTAGTACCAAACAGAAACTTCAATGATAGTGTCAATCACTTGAGTTTGAGTCTTAAATGAGACCAAATTACTGCATTTCATCTTTGCATTTTGTTTTTTTTCCCCCAACTTGCTGTTTGCACCACACTGGTAGCTGTAATAGGTTAGTACAGAATGAAATTGTACATCCCTCTCCGAAGGTGTACTTTTTCCCAAGAATATATAAAATATATTTCCTCTTAAAAGGAAAGAATTTTTTTTTCCATTATTTTCATTATTCATAAGGAGAAATCGAACTCCCAGTGGAAGACCGAAGTAATTTGCGTTGGCTAAGTTTCAAGTTTACAGAAGGCTTGTTCTGAATTTGATACCCACCTTCTGGTATTATTCATGCACAATTATGATATTGATATAAAAGGCCGAGTGTCATTATTTAAAGTTTGCCATGAAGCAGCGGCTTAAGCCTAAATTTAAGTAAATTTTTTGCTGAGGAGATTTCTTCCCTCCCGAGAGTGTTCGTTTAACTCGCTTATCATCTAACTATAGCTGATGTGCGTCCACCGATATTTCATTATAAAAACAATTCTTCACGTGTTCCGCATCAAAAACGCCCCAAAGATTTGAAATTGAATTTCTGCTTGAAAGGTAGGAATAGTTCCTTTTGACAGTTTTATTGAGGATGAATTGAAATGGAGATGTTTAGTCCATAGTATATTTAGGAAAAAAACAATCGAACAGGCGAAAGTATGATATGGAATGTACCAACTATGGCCGAAATATTATGAGAAAAATGTAGAGAGGTATATTTCTTTTAGACTTATGACATACAAGTGTTATTGGACCAACTGAACTAAAGGTAAGCAGAGTTGCAATTCATTAAAAAAAGAGATGATGTTGAAAGTAGCTCGATATGTTTTCTCACAAGTTTAATTTAATGCGAAAGTATACCACTGCGTGGTACAAAATACGTCTTACATTCCCTCGATTCACTAAAATTGCTTAAATATTTCTTAACTTTTCAAATAGGAAAAATAATGGAGAAAATGGAATATTACCTACTCTTCACTCTTTTTAATGTCTGGACTGTTTTTCTGCAAATAACCAGTGCGGATTAAGTAGCATGGGAGGTATGGCTCTTAATTATTTCCGTTTTCAGGATATGATTTTGTCAGCCCTCCATATTTGCTATGTCCTGTGCGAACTAAATCACCTTTCAGAGTTAACTTCCACAAAAACGAAATAGTGAAAAACAGAAGATAGTAACCATTGTTGGTTCCCTTGAGTATCACAAGCCATCCAAGATCATTGTATTTCAGCGGCATTTACCTTAGTAGCCTTTCTAAGAGTGATTGTCCCCTGGAATATATTGTTTACTCTCTTCACAATATAATTGTTTGATATCAACCCTCACGTATTGTGAGTAAAAGAGTATTAGTTTTGACCATCTCTCGTAAAAGAAACAAGGTCGAAAGAAATTAACTTTTTGGAAATGTAAATGCCGTACATAAGGCTTTCGCGATGAAGACAATTTGACTGAATTACTACCCATAATATGGAAAGGTTTGCCACCTGTTTATGTTCTTTTGACATAGCTGATTATATTTCTCATTGGTTTCTTTATTCCTTCTTCCTCCTTCAGATGATTGTCGAGTGATTGAATTCAAAGAAGGAACAAAAAATAAGATCTTAATAAATCACGTCATTAGGAGAGATCAACTGCCAGACAAGGATATTTGTGAATTGAGATGCTATCTTGAACCAAACTGCGTGTCCTACAACTATGGTCCACTGTCAGATGGAACATTCACATGTGAGCTGAATGACAGGACCTACTTACAAGTCCCCGACTCCCTCGAAGACAAAAGCGGATTTGTGTACACAGAAATTTTTGTAAGTACGGCCTGGTAACATTCAGTTTTACAAGTGTGATCAGTTTACGGGTAAAAAAACTCGGGTACAGTGTTGTTCCCTTTCATGTTATTTATTTATCTATTCATCATGTTTTAATTGATTTATTGTATAAATTGATTTATTTTCTTCTTATCTTTCAGAATTCTTGTGAGAGCATTCCATGCACCCATCACGCCACCTGTCAAGCGGGCTTTGGTAACCATGGATACCGCTGTATTTGTCCTGCTGGATATCAGGGAGTTCAGTGTAAAACAGGTGAGGGAAAAAACACCTAACGATAAAATGATGAGTTCAGACAGTTCAATATTTAATTGATTTTACAATAAAGTTAACCAGCTATAATTTCCAAAAAATTATTCGTGCAACATCACGGGGAAAAGACAGGAGAACAAGCAAAAGAATCCTGACTTAAAAGATGTGAAAAGGACAGGCAGGAAGAGGAACAGAAAGAAAAGTACACAGATACGCAGGGCCACTTTCATAAAGTTGGACGAAATGTCTCATCCTGGAGAGTTTTTAGCTTTGGTTTTTTTTCTTAAATTCTGTGTAGATGTTGATGAATGCGTACCAGGAAAACACCATTGTCCCGCAGAGCGCAAATGTGTCAATACTTTGGGTTCATATCAGTGCTCACATTGTAGACCTGGATATATTGACGATGGAGAGACCTGTCAAGGTAAGATTTGCATACAATGAAGAAGACAACGAAGACAAAAAGAAAAACAGTGGACACACATATAAAGACCAGCAACAATGTAATGGTGGTAACAGTAAGTCTTGCATATCGAATAAGAGAAAGTTGATAAAATTAGGTTAGCTACCATTTATATCTTATTCAGACAGACAGATTAAGAGACAGACAGATTAAGAGACAGACAGACAGAGAGTAACGACAGAAAGTGGTAGATATATGGGGATACGAGATGTAACTGAGTGGCATGTTCAAGCCACAGATGCGCACTTATCTCATAGTGGTGGTTACGCTTGCTCTGTAGGCATATAGGCCACCAAGATGGATATCATCTACAGCTCATTAGGCCTTGTTAAGAATAACCAGCTAGGCCAAAGGCAGAGGCCAAAAACAAAGCCGAAAAAAGCCGAACGTGGCTACCAACTTGTTGTCTTTTTCTCCCTTCTTTTCTACTATTATCACTTCAATGCACATTTTATGCCTAACAAAGTTTGTTGATAACAAAGTCTTCAAATGTGGCATGAGCAGAATTTCCACGGATGGAGTTTGCTACACTTACTGGCCTCTAGCTCTATTGGAATTCCTTCCCCCATTTATGAGAAATTTCACGCGAGGTGTACTTTGCCTAAAGTTCGTTTAGTCCTTCAATTTTTACCATTTGATTTTATTATGTTTAGATATCGATTAATGTAACGATGGTAACCATGATTGTCGTGATGCGGCCAACTATAAAAACACCGCTGGATCGTTCGACTGCAGCTGTCAGTCTGGACGCCTTAAAGATGGACGATACTTTTGCTTAGGTGTATCTTGATTTCTTACTGAACACGAAATCTTATTCAGATAACCTACGCTACACTTTTTCCACCTCTTTACACCATATCAACAGAAGAAAGCTGAAAGATTTGATTTATCAATCACCAAAGTGTTGTTAACTATTAAGTGTGGCTTGCAATTGTGCAATGCAAGCTAACGCTCATATCTGTCACAGATATTCAATGAGGCGTCCTTCTGGTCAAGAAAATTGTAATTTCGACACCATTTACGCGCAGCGATACTTATCAAAATACTAATCTGACTAATCTTGTCTGGACAATTGCAACTGTCAATTTCTAACTTCTATCGACAAGCTCTTTATTTCGATCAAACTCTTCCATGACTTGACTTGCTAATATCATTTTTAAAACCTACGAATGTTCTTAACAGATAACTGGAAAAAGATCAACACCGATCCTGTCTGTTTTGGGACAAAAAATGACGACTTCGGATCCTTTGAAATCCAAGAGGCCGGTAAAGTGTACACATTCAAACTTGTCCATACAAATGGCACCGTAACATGTAATACTGACTTCGAATCAACAAAGTGGGGATGTTTACACCCAGATTTGGGACGTCGTATACTACTGACGGTGATAACTTACCCCAACAAGACTGTTCTACCACTTGCTGAGTTCGTGAAAGGCATTGATGACTATAGGTACCAACTTGACGGTGCTCATGTCAACTCCCCGACGCTTGTGTTTAACCAGCTCCCCACCCCTCTGGTTGTGTCGATTGGACAGCAGTTCCTAATATGGTATGGGCAAGACTTGGCTTATTATACCGAATTCAATAATGCTGGTGAGATATGCTCAGATGTTTACGCTTTGTACCCTTAACCTGAACTTTAGCATCGAACTTAACCTGAATCTATGTACATATGTAAATATCTCTGTAAATCTATGTATCTATGTATGAGACCAATATAGTAGCCAGCTCCCAATTGGCTTGTTAGTTCAGTTGGTAGAGTACTGCACCGGTATCGCAGAGGTTATGGATTTAAATCCCGTACAGACCTGAATTTTTGTTAGGCCCTTATTTCCATTATTGCTCAAGAAGTAACCATTACTGTGAAGATCGCATTCATATTCATAGCTTAAAACTGTAGTTCACATATATGATATTCACATATTTACAGTAGTGTAAACACTGTCACGCGGGAATCGTCACGCGGCGTAAGGTGGCAAAACAGGGCGCACTTTTATGCCTTTCTTTGATGGTGGAATCCACGTTGGAAGTGCTTTTAAAGAGAAGCTCGACTTGGCGACAGGTATGGGAAACATGGACAATGGACAATGCGCTCGAGTCACAAACAAATACTGGAGGATTTGGCGGTAGACCCTCACTGAAAAATGATGGCGAGCGTACATTTCGAAAGAGATCGTGCTCTCTGCAAATATTTCAAAAAAAGTTCTTACTAGATCTCACACGAGCTCAATCCAGCAACAATAAAGTGATAAAACACCTACACTGCTTCTTTTTTGAAATCAATGAGAACGAATCAGCGTTGATAATGGTCTCAAAACTGAACCCTTTGTTCTGTACGGTGGTTGATACAAATTGGTCTTTTAAAGAGCGATGCACAACTGATGATATGTCCACAGTTTCTGCCAGAGTTCCTGCGATCTTGCTTTTACTTATTGAATACGTTGGAAAGTATGAAAACAAGTTGTACATATGTAAATACAACTAAAAAGACCAAATCAGTTATTTTCTAGCAATTTTGGCCAATGTCGAGCCATTACTCGATGACAATTTCACAATAGACCTTTCGCAAAGAGAGAAGTTTTTCGGTATTTTTCAGAACATAGTTCGTGGTAATTCCAACGAAAACTTACACTTCCCACGTATCAACATTATCTTCATCCATTTATAATGGTAACTGAACTTAATGGAGTGCAATTTGGGATGAAATCATACGCGTGATTTTTAAAATCGAACGAGCGCGCAGCGTGAGTTCGATTTGAAATCACAAGTATGATTTCAGACCAAAATTGCATGAGACGATGTTCAATTACCACTTTATTACCTCCATTTTAAAATTGCCTAAATACAGGACTTGGTCAGTTCAAATATTTTATTGATGCAGTACTGAGCCGGTCTGAGATTAAATTCATCCATTTTCGGAGGGGAAAAAGTAAGAGTTTGGAAACAAAAGTTGCAAAATTTGCCACATGATACTCTTTTTCTTTCAATCTCCTCCAGTTTGATCGGTTACATTAAACGAGCCTTAAAATCTGATTGGTTGTTCTGTTTTTAGTGTAGCCTCGTCATTGGCTGGGAAAAAGATGCGATTTAAAGCAAAGAGTGGTGCGATTCGGGAATAAATCGCATCAATTGGAACCAATCAGATTACAGGGACCACCAGTGATTTCAAAATTGGTGTAATAAATGATAGAATTGTGGCGAAAAAGCCCTAATCTCTCGCCAGATTCCCTATTTTTTGGACGTCCAAACAACTTCTCGCCATACGTTCCTTTCAAGCGAGTTACAATGTTTGCCTCGTGGCAATCACACAAATCTGTGCGCAAACGCAAGGATCCGATTACTGGCAACTTATTTCCCCGGGAAAGTTCCCTATGTATTACATCATCGACCTCCTGTTTTTGTGAAAATGTCACGCGATGATAAGCGAGCAAAATTTAATCTCTTTTTTGACTTCCTGTTTTTTTAAAGAATCACTCAACTGCATGAGGCCATAAGTGTGAGTCTCATTTCTTTGAATCAAAACCGTCTTTTGTTTCTCGGAAATCTTTCAATTTCATAACCAGTCATTCTCATGACATAATTCCATCAAATTATTTCCATCATATGGAAAGTATTACAGAGTTGGCATTTTCAGCTCATTTTCATGAAACGAGCTCGAACCGCCAACTCTTATACTACTTCAATATCCGTTCACAAGAAAACGTCTGTTCTTGAATTAATTTTGTTTTCGTGAGTTCGCCGTCTTGTTGTTAATTTTTGCAAACGATTTAGAGCTAATTTAGAGAAAAGAAAATAAAAACGATTGGGGGTTATCCATTGACCTCCGTTGCCGATCTCTGACAATGTTTTCATCATTCTCATAAAATAATCATATCTCATAAAATAGTCATATGAGGGACCTTAAGCAGTTAGGACGGTAAAGATAAGGAAGACTTCGATTACAAAATGAATTGAATTTATTCTTTAAGTTAGAATTTCGTCTCTTACGGCGCTGCACCTCAACTTCAGCAAAACGTGAGTAAGCAGCATTGAGTACCAAATAGAAACTTAAATAATAGAGTCACTCACAAGAGTTTGAGTCTTAAATAGTACCAAATTACTTCATTTCATCTTTGCCTTGTTTTCTTTGTGTCTAACTTCCTATTTGCATAACACTGGTAGCTGTAGTAGGTTAGTATAGAATGAAATGGTACATCCCTTTCCGAAGGTGTACTTCTTCTCAAGGGAATAAAATATATCTCCTCTTATCCCTTTAACTCCTAAGATCTGATTGTCAATTCTCCCCTCTAGCTACTACACATTTCCTTGTAAATTGATTACGAGAGTTAGGTGTTCAATCAAGGTAATAAATCGTACCTAATGTTTGAATGTTTTCTTCAACTGTTTGCTGTATAATGTATGGATACTTTAGGGAGAAATTACATGGTAATCGCTTCAGGGAGTGAAAGGGTTAAAAGGTAAGAAAGTTTTTTTTCATTATTTGCATTCGACAGAAGGGGAAATCGAACTCCCAGTGGAAGACCGAAGTAATTTGCGTTGGCTAAGTTCCAAGTTTACAGAAAGCCTGTCCTGAATTTGATACCCACCTGTTATTATTTGTCATTCGCAATTATAATAATGATATAACCAGTTATTGTTATGACATAGTTCCATCAAATGTTCAATCAAGCTAATAAATCGTACCTGATGAGTTTGAGTGTTTTCATCAACTGTTTACTGTTTATACTTTAGCTCGAACCGCCACATGGTAATCGCTTCAATATCCGGGCTATAAGAAAACGTTTTTTTGAATTATTTGCATAAGTCGTGAGTTCGCTCCCAGTCTTGTTGAAGAATTTGCTTCGGCCAACGATTTCAAGTTTACAGAAAAGAAAATGATACCCACCCGTTGTTATCCATGACCTCAATTACAATAAAAATAACAATGTTTTATTTAAAGTTTGCCATCAAAATAATCATATCTCATAAAATGAGCACATATTTTGCTAGGCAGATTTTGGTCCCAAAAGTGTTTGTCTAACTCGTTCATCATTAACCAAAGCTGATGTGCGTCCACCGATATTTCTTTATAAAAACAGGTCTTCAGGTGTTCGGCATCGTAGAACGCACCAAAGATTTGAAATTGAATTTCTGCTTGAAAGGTAGGAATAGTTCTTGTTAACAGTTTTATTGAGTGTGAATTGAGATGGAGATGTTCAGTCCATAGCGTATTTAGGCAAAAAAACAATCGAACAAGCGAAAGTATCATATGAAATGTAACAACTATGACCGAATTATTATGAGAAAAAAGTATAGAGGTATATTTCTTTCAGACCGATGACACACAAATATTATTGAGACAACTGAACTAAAATTAGGCAAAGTTGCAGTTGATTAAAAAGAAGGACGATGTTGAAAGTAGCTTGATATATTTCCTCACAAGTTTAATTTTTTGAAACAGTACACTACTGTCTGTTAAAAATACGTCTCACGTTTCCTAGATTCGCTTAAATTGCCTAAATATTTCTTAACTTTTTAAACAGGAAAAATGCTGGAGAAAATGAAATGTTACCTACTCTTGGCTCTTTTTACATGTCTGGATTGTTTTTCTGCAAATAACCAGTGCGGATTGAGTAGCATGGGAGGTATGGCTCGTAAGAATTCACGTTTTCAGGATATGATGTAGTCAGCCCTCCATATCTGTTATCTACTGTGCGAAAAAAAAAAAAGAGTTAACTTCCACGAAAACAAAATTATAAAAAACAGAAGATAGTAACCACTGTTAGCTCTTTTGAGTACCACACACCATCCAAGATCATTATATTTCGGCTGCAATTACACCCGAAGAAGAAGGAATAAATTATTTACTCTCTTCACAATATAATTGTTTGATATCAACCCTCACGTATTGTGAGATTAGTTTTGACCATCTCTCCTAAAAGAAAAAAGGTCGAAAGAAATTACCTTTTTGGAGATGTAAATGCCACACAAAAGGCTGCGTTGAAGGCAATTTGACTGAATTACTGCCCATAATATGGAAAGGTTTGCCACCTGTTCATGTTTTTTTGATATAGCTGATTATATTTCTCATTGGTTTCCCTATTCCTGATGATTGTCAGTGATTGAATTCAAAGAAGGAACAAAAAATAAGATTCACGTCATTAGAACTGCCAATGTTTGTGAATTGAGATGCTATCTTGAACCAAACTGCGTGTCCTACAACTATGGTCCACTGTCAGATGGAACATTCACATGTGAACTGAATGACAGGACCCACTTACAAGTCCCCGACTCCCTTGAAGACAAAGTGGATTTGTATACACAGAAATTTTTGTAAGTACGGCCTGGTAACATGCAGTTTTAATTTACAAAGGTGATCAATTTACGAACAAAAAAAACTCGGATATAGTGTTGTTCCCTTCGATGTTATTTATTTATCTATTCATCATTTTAAAATTGATTTATTGTATAAATTGATTTATTTTCTTCTTATCTTTTCAGAATCCTTGTGAGAGCATTCCATGCGCCAATCACGCCACATGTCAAGCGGGCTTTGGTAACCATGGATACCGCTGTATTTGTCCTGCTGGATATCGGGGAGTTCAGTGTAAAACAGGTGAGGAGAAAAACCTCTAAAATGATGAGTTCAGACAGTTCAATATTTAATTGGTTTTATAGTAAAGTTAAGCAGCTATAATTTCCAAAAAATTATTCGTGCAACATCACGGAGAAAAGACAGGAGAACAAGCAAAAGAATCCTGACTTAAAAGATGTGAAAAGGACAGGCAGGGAGAGGAACAGAAAGAAAAGTACACAGATACGCAGGGCCACTTTCATAAAGTTGGAGGAGGTGTCTCATCCTGGGGAGTTTTTAGTTTTGATTTTTTTCTTAAATTCTGTGTAGATGTTGATGAATGCGTATCAGGAAAACACCATTGTCCCGCTGAGCGCGAATGTGTCAATACTTTGGGTTCATATCAGTGCTCACATTGTAGACCTGGATATATTGACGATGGAGAGACCTGTAAAGGTAAGATTTGCATACAATGAAGAAGACAATGAAGACAAAAAGAAAACATGTATATAGACCGCCAACGATGGTGGTGACAGCAAGGCTTACATATCGAATAAGAGAAAGTTAACAAAACTAGGTTAGCTATCATTTATATCTTATTCAGACAGACAGATTGAGAGACAGACAGTGAGAGACAGACAGACAGACAGAGAGTAACGACAGAAAGTAACTGATACATGGGGATACGAGAGGTAACTGAGTAGCATGT